CAAGGAAAGACCCATTTATTATTGCTGTGGCCCATTCTTTTGTTATCGGCCTGGCTGCTTTGATTAGCCAGGCCAGGCAAGGGTCAAGGGAGGAGGTGGTGGCCCGACAGCAATCAAGCACTTTGTCCACAGTATCTGGCATCACAGGCTGAAAGAGATCAAGAGCCACTGGGCAAGATAGAGCGCTGGACATCTCAGCTTGACTCACTGTGTTCAAAAAAGAAGAGAGCTCCCGGCAGATGGCCTCCACTTTAGATTTTAAAAATGCTGCAAATTGGTCCGGTGAAAAACTAGGGGGAGGCCCATCAGTCAGACCAATTCTGGATAGGTCACACACTATACTGAATAACTCCGCCTGCTGATATGAAGCTTCGCTTACCTGGTTAGCAAAGTATGCACGACAAGTAGCCTTTATCTTAGTCAGGTAGAGGTTAGTTGCAACTCTGACAGCTATCCAATTGTAATCCGTCGGGTTCTTCCTCCACCTGCGCTCTAGCCTTCTCCTAAGCCGCTTCATCGCTCAAAGGTCCTGGTTAAACCAGGGCGCAGGCCGAGCTCTGCGTTGGAGAGGGCGTTTAGGCGTGATTGTGTCTATATGGTGGCAGCGGTAAACCAGCTGTCAACCAGAACCTCAACAGGAGCGCCAACCAGGTCAGCCATTACACCTCTCATGGCATCCTGGAATCCAACAGGATCCAGTAGCCTTCGAGAGCAGACCATGGAAATAGGTCCCTGCTCCCTGTGAGGGGGGAGAGCCACTAAGAGGTTACATTTTATTAGGTGGTGATCTGACCATGACAAGGGGAACGACACAAGGTCGGTCACCATCAGACCACACTCGCTCCAATTGGTGGAAAAGACCAGGTCCAGCATGTGACCATCCACGTGGGTGGGGCCATTGACATGTTGGGAGATGTTCAAGGAAGCCATGGTTTCCAAGAACTCAAGAGCTGGCCCAGAGGTCTCTGCCTCCGTGTGAATGTTGAAATCACCCAAAACCAGAAGCTTCAGGGATCTCAACAACGCCGCAGAGACAAAGTTCGCCAGCTCTAAAAGGGAAGTGGCGGGGTCACGGGGAGCGCGGTAACCCAGCAAAATCCCAATACCATCACTGGCTCCAATCAACACATGGAGTGCCTCTAGGCCCGACTTTACCACCGAGGAGCACCTAGTAACCTCCAGGATGGATTTATAAACAAATGCTACTCCCACCCACCCCCCCCCCCAGTCTAACCTGGGGCTGGACAGGACCCCCCCC